CTCTCTCTCTCTCTCTCTCTCTCTCTCTCTCTCTCTCTCTCTCTCTCGCTCTCATTAGCTCTTAGTCTCATTGATTTGGCTACCTTAGGGCTGCGTTCCCCGCGCCCACGCGGTAGACAATACCTCCTCCTCCCTATCGACCTCCTCACCCTTACGCCACAGGACGTGAAATGGTCGTTGCCCACAAAATGGACAACAATTGAGACCGGATGCAAGGCCTGTCTATGCTGCGATGCTCTCCACAGCTGTTGTGACACCCTCCCCTTCGGCTGCCCGACCATGCCGTTTCTCCACCACCAAGCTGCTCCCCAAATCCACGCCTCCCACTTCTCCTCCTTGCACGGACGCCGCCTCTTGCCCGCCCTCTTTTCCTTCCTCACCACCTTCCTCTCCCTCCTGCTTGCCCTGGCGACTACTGCTATGATCCTTTCCCCCTGTCCCCTCTCTCCCCGCCTCCGGCTGCGGCTTTTGTTCAGCCTTCCCCTTCATTTCTCTGACGTCAGCCCCCGCCGGTCCCTGGTCCGTTTCCATCCGTCCCTCCCCTTTTTCAACTTTACCTCCTTTATCCCCCGGTTCCCCACCTCCCATTTTGATCTCCCTCTCTGCCTCCAATAGCTGCTCCGCCTTCCTCTTTCGTTCAGGGCCGAACAGCCAGTGCGGTTCGTGTTTTTGCATGGGGTCATCCCCTGACCCTTCCCACGGTACGTTTTGCCGGTACCCTCCCCTACGCTGGGTCCTTCTCCTATAGTTTGACCCTGCTGACTTTGCTTTGCTGCCTCCCCCAACACTCCTGCGCTTGCTCTCGCCTCTCCCATCACCTCCTCATCTATTTGCAACTCCAGGTTTCGCCATGCCATCCGCTCCACTTCAGGGTTCGACTGCAGTATCGGGTCCATTCTGCACCTCGCCTCTCTGGCTTGGAGTTCTTGCAGCATCTCAGCTTGCATGAGACAGCAGCCATGCAGACCGAGATGACCATGCGTGAAGCAGATTTCACAGAAAAGGGTCTCACTTGTGATCACTCTGACCTCCTCGAAGCTAAATGGACCTGTGGCCACCGCCACCGTATTCTTCAAAGGGTTCTTCAGCGGGCCATCGATCACATACCTTATATACTCTCGCTCCTCGTCGTCACATATCTGCTCATCAGCGATCAGGACATAGAAATGTTCCACCTCCCCTCGCATCCACTTTGCCTCCAGGGGGAAGGGCTTGTACGCCTTCACCCATGGCCACCTTTTACGCTCCGCTGCCCTTGCTGCATGGATCTCTGCCGGCGATCTCCACGGGAGCAGGTTTACCTCGCCTTGCACCCCTGCCGCTTGCACGTTCTCCTCTCGCCTGACCTTAATTAGCCGATCCCTCAACTCAACTGTCTGAGCCAAACATGTAACAATTGTATCCCCCTCTAGATTTATCTGCCCCCATCTCGATCCCCTACCTAATGTCCATGTTTCCTTGATTTGTCTCGCTCATTCCCGTTTGGTTCTGTGTGACCAGCCGCTTGCACCGTCTGGCAACTTACATGCCACGGTGCAATGACTTGCTGATTTTGACTGCCGAGATCTGACTGCGAGGCTGTACAGTAGCAGCGGTAGGGTTAGATTTGTAATTTTGTTTGTGTCAGGGACTAACCGAGAGTTCAGTGCTGAGGGAAATTTGGGAGGGACATATCTGCAATTTCGGGAAAATTACAGGCCTGCAGTTCCCTTCGTCTGCACTGCAAATAGCAGGCCCGGGCTATCACTAGGACGGGAGGCCCTAGGGCCTAGGCCCGTAGCATGAGAGCCTATAGCCGGGTAGGTGGAGGCACTAGAGGCCCAAACTGAAACGGTACCGGTCGGTCGTCCGTGTCTAGGTCTAGGTTAGTCTATTAATAGATCTGGGTCGAGAGGGTTTGGACTTTTGGCTGTTTTCATTTTCGCGTGACAATGTTCTGAGCCAAGCAATTACAGTGGAGACGATTGCCTACAGGCGACATCCTGAGACCTCCGTCGTGGACGGCAGCCATAGCCAGCCTTCTGGAGCTCGCCATAGCTGGGGCGTCCTCTGAGCATCCACCCCTGGGGGTGTTTGCGATCGCCTGGGCTATTCTGAGGCTCTACATGGTATTCGTGGGTGGACCACTGTTGCTGCATCTTCCTTGGAGATCGTGTGTGGCATCTACAGTGGCGCTGCAGCTTTCTTCGTCAGAGTTGTTCATCGGCACTGAGGATTACATCGCAGTTCCTGTTCTTCATCTGGGTGGTTGGCGTAGGCCTCGGGGAGGCTGATGGGGTGTGCCGCTACTAACTGGGTGTAGTATAGGGAGTGGAGTGTGTGGTTTTTGTGGGTGGCGAGACACTGGGACAAACTCTGTAACGATATTGGTTCAGATCGGCTAAATCTCAGATTGTTCCTTCGTTATCCTCGCAGGTGTCTACTTGTGATTGGTTGTTGGGAGTACTGTCAGAGAGTGGGAAACACTTCGTGTTATCTCCACACCTGTGCATAGTGCTTTTCCGCTTCCTACTCTGTTTGTTGCCCTGACACAAGTGTTTTGCAGGTACATCACTTCGTTCGCAGGCCTCGTCATGCGAACTCCATTTAGCATAGCGTATTCCAGCAGCCCTGGCCCTTCAATTGGCTGGCGCAGCAAGTATGCCCTCCTCAGGATCTGCATCAGTCGCCATTGCTCCTGTTCCACCTGCTCCATACTGTCGTTTCACCTCATGCTTGCCTCCCACTGATCGACTCTTCTCCCGCGCTTCCCGGAGGTAGCCCTTTCCAAGCGCTACGAATACTTCCTCGCTTCACCGCGAGTTCGGTCGGATCCCAAGCCGATTCAATGAATCCACGTGATTTTCGACCCCAGATGTGTCGAGAGGAGCTCTGGAGCACGCTCACTTCTCCTCCCGCGTGGACTCTCCACTTTTGAACCACCCCAGGTTTATGACCCCTTTATCCTCCTATCCCATTTCTACCCCTTTCTACCTTTTTCCCTATCATATTCCCCGTATCAACTTTCTCCCCGCTCCGTCGTGTCTTCGTGGGTCATCCTTATGGAAGCACAATCCTACCCCGCCTGTTCGCAAGCTCCCAGAGATTCAGGCGCTTTGACCTCCCCCCAAGTTGCTCTCCCCTCTAACCCACGCAGGCTCATTACTACCCCCCCCGACTCTCTTCCTTAACGTTCATCCTGTCAATCGCAGAGCGCCTGCCATGGCTAGCCCTAGACACGGCGGCGCCCAGTGAGGCCTCACCACACCAGCGAGCCCTCCAGGCCATAGTTGAATCGCAGCAGGAAAGCCATGCGGCATGCTCGCCGCGCCTGTTGACCCGGCCCCGCCATCATCCCCACATCGGTTCACCTCATGCCATGGCCGACCCTAGTCACGGCGGCACCTGGTCAAACGTCGGCCTGCTTGCAAGCCCTCAAGCGGCGGTCAAAACGAAAGAAGAAAGCCACGTGGCCAAACTGCCGCGCACAGTGTCCCACCCGCCCCACCACGTCGCTTGAAACTAGCCCACCAAAATTAGCGCGAAACTAGCACACGGAAATCGGCGCAAAACTAGCGCACCACATAATCGCAAAGAGGCCCTATAACTTTCACCTACATGTGTTATTTTTTTCCCCGAAGAGCACGCGGCAACTATTCAATGGCACTAGCTTTTAGAGATGAGGAATGCTAGTTGTCGTGATTTACCGTGTTTATGGTGGTGTGCTTGGGGAGAGCTGTTGTTGTGCTGATGCTGTTGTTGTGCTGCTCTTTCCCCCTTCTTTTGACCCACACGCAGAGTCACTGCCGGCAACGAATGGCATTGATGAGATTGATGAGCTCATCAAGGGTGCAAAGAGGAAGATCACGCGGATCGTATGGGACCGGAGCAATGGAATTCGTGATGACAATTCTGCTGGAGACGGACACAGAGAGAGGTCGTCGGCGTATTCGAAGAAGAACAAGAAACGGCGAAGGAAGCCTCAGAAGTTCAACATTGACAAGTAGGAATGCATACTGAGGTTTAGCTCAGTGGGTACACCCATGAACTGTTGAAATACAGACCCAGGTTCAAATCCAGTGGCAATCAGATGAACAGAACAAGAAAGAAAGAAAGAAAGAAAGAAAGGGAGAAAAAAAAGGAATGCAGTGCACATTCAAAAATATCAAAAGCAAAGTGTAGCCTTTTTTTTTTTGTTTTTTTTTTTTGGTTGGAAAGTTTTGCACATTTATTATCAAAGTCCCCAATGGAACGAGGCCGGGGAACCTCACAATTCTACCCGGAAAGATCCTGGCAGCCTCAGCCAGATTCGCTTTTCGAGCTCTTAGTCCACCAAAGATAACGTCTTTTTAAAACTCCTATGCTCGACTGGAAACCGGCTCCAGTGTCCCATTCTGAACAAAAAGAAAACTTTCCAAAAAATGGATAATCTTGAGTGCTCAGTAAACCAGGGGTGGGATGAAGGAGGGGTAAGCCACTACCATTCTGCAGTGGCCGCCCATCGACTATTCCTTTATAAGTTTATATAGATGTTCAATCTGTAGTCCTTTCCTCCATGTTGACCGACGTAGTCTATTACGACCACTAGCGGACTTTGCTGTCTTGTTATAACCATTCTGCTATCCATAGCTCTGGCCATTTGGAGTAACCGTCGCCATGGCCTTGGTCTTTGCCCAGGTTTTCATGCACCAGGCGGGCTTCCTGCAGTGTCTCGCTCGACTTCGATCCTCGCCAGTCAGTCAGGATGGGCGGTCGAATCTGTTCTTTGGCCATTGCTATCTGCTGTTGTGTAGAGTTCACTTCATTTCTGAAAACCATTGCATTTCTACTCTTCCAGATGCTGCTCATCGCCGCCCCTTTGCAGACTAGGGCTACGTTGCCCCAACCTTCCAAAAAGGACGTGTTATTCGGAGTTACGTTGTGGAGATTAGGTGTCCTTTGTCTCATCATGTTTTGTTTGTTTGTTCTTTGTTCTTTCGCAGCGGTGGGGGTAATTGTCCCAGATACAATGCACCCTCATCATGAACGTATACATTCAATTTTTCCGGTCGGATACGGTCATGATGAGTGTGCGTTGTGGTTGGGGGAAGACGGGCGGTAGGGTCGCGGTTGTGGATCAAGAAATAAATGGACTCTGAAAGGGAGGGATGTAACAGTTGGATTGGTTGGTTGGGTCCATAACGCCATTTGTGGTTTCGGGGTTCAGGCTCATCGCGGACGGTTTTTTTTGGGTAGAATCTCCAGCAAAGGAGAGAAGCACTTGATGGGATCTGTAGGCTTGGGTAAAACAAGTAGTAGGGCAATCTGCTCTCGCGATATCAAGGGCCAAAGCAACTGGTAGAAATGACACTACAAAGTGTGGCAGTTGAGATATTCTGTCTCCTTTATTCCGCTTTTGTTCTCCTCCCATCCTCAGGTTCTAACTACTGCGCTGTTCTGTTTATATAATCTCATATGAGTTGTAAGTTATATTGCCTTAAACCCGGTACTCGCCAGGGGAAGCCAGGAGAAAAGAAAAGACGTGGTGCTGGTGGCGGTTGTTTGGGCTCCCCCTTTTATTTGTCATTTTGTGTCAGTATTTCAACCCTCTCTCACTCTCTCTCTGTGTCTGTTTGTGGCTACGGCCTTTATATCGTTATCATCCCGTTACTCGATCATCTCCTGCTTGCTTCAGTTGATCCTCTCTCTCTCTCTCTCTCTCTCTCTCTCTCTCTCTCTCTCTCTCTCTCTCTCTCT